GAGGTGAGAGGCTTGGGAACCACAGCCTCAGTCCTGGTCCTTCTGGAGAGGCTGCCGGGGATGAACGCTCTCTCTATTCCAAGCCTGGTTTCTGATACTCCCTGGAATTTTTTTCTCTCACCCACATCCTTAGTGTGTGTCCTTATACACACCAAGACCCCACCCTGCTAGTTGAGCTGGGGTCTGGACACTTTAGTCCTTGGAACGGTCATTCTAAGTAGTTCCCAGTCTTCTGATTAAAGTTGGCCTTGGAACATCATGGTCACTGCTGCCTGGACTGGCTCAGCCTGATGATCACCCATTCATTTAGCATCAGCAGACAGTGCTGTCCCGATGGGCAGGCCTGTAAACTTGTGGGGGATCACATTGGGCTCCCAGCTCTGCCTTCAAAGGGCTCATGGCCAGGAGAAAAAGGGGCAAGCACTCCCAAGACACCCATCCCAGAGTCCAGAGGCCCTGAACCTAAACCACCATGACACCTGCAGATAATTTACTATGATCCAGGAGGAAGGCATGTCTATGATGCCATCAGCTACCTAGCTTCTAATAGGTAAGAGAGCTGTCTAAAAGCTGAAAAGTGGGGTCATGAAAGGCAGTCGCAGAGCATGTCACAAAGAGAAACACAAGAAGAGACTGCTGGAGCCAGCAAGATGCTCAGTGGGTAAGGGCACTGATGACCTGAGTCATCAACCTGGAACCCACATGGTGGAAGGACAGGACTAACTCTTGGAAGCTGTCCCCTGACACCCTCAGCCCCCGCTGCCTCACTCAAACCCACACAAATGATAAATAAACACGACTGCTCTAGTACTTTTCCTCTGAGACTTGTGGAGGCTCAGGAGGTGGCTCCATTGGCGGAGGGCTTGCCTAGCAGGCTCGAAGCCCTGAGCTCCATCCTTGCACCACAGAAACAAGGCCTGGGGACACACCTGCAATTCCAGGGGTCAGGAGGTGGAGCAGGAGTTCCAGAAGTTCAAGGACAGCCCTAGCTTGAGCTTTATTTATTTAAATTTTTTACTTATTTATTTTTGTTTTGTTTTGTTTTGTTTTGAGACAGGGTTTCTCTCTGTAGTTTTGGTGCCTGTACTGGATCTCGCTCTGTAGACTAGGCTGGCCTCGAACTCACAGAGATCCGCCTGCCTCTGCCTCCTGGGATTAAAGGTGTGCGCCACCATTGCCCAGCTGTAAACCTTTTTCTTTATAAATCACCCAGGCCATGGCATTTAATACTTATAGTCCCAAAAAGGAAGGAGAAAGGGGGCAGGGACTCAGTGGACAGGATAGCCAGGCTCTGGTCTGCAGGTGGGTCATTTGGGCAGGGAAGGAAGAGAGAGAGAAGTGGGACCCTTGTCCCAGGGAACAGGGGGGCTCAAACAGGCCAGCATTGGAGCCAGATTAGTAGGTAGATCCTGGCCAGCACCCGCCCCTGGCCTGACCCTTCCTCGAGGTCCCCTTGCCCCGTCCCTGTCTTCGGGAGTTGCTTGCCTCAGCCCACTGGGCTTTGCTCCTTCTCTGGCTGCTCCTGGATCTCTCTCTAGGACCTTACCTTAGGCTGAAGGTCTTGCTTTCTGAGGCACTGACCTGAGACTCACGTGCTACCCTTAGCCCCCTACCTTGCCTTCTGTAAGAGGCCTCAACCCTCTGTGTCCTGCCTATGGGAGTTCTCAGTGCAGAATGGCAGCCGGGAGCAAGCACAGTAGATCTGGGACTTGGACCAGAAGTTTTGCTTGAAGGTGAGGGTTGGTGTGCCAACCAGGTGTTCCTGAAGCAGGTGCACAGCTATCCCACCCCCAGCCCATGTGCTCACAAATCCATGGAAATGTCCCAGAATGCCCTGGGCATTACTGGAGTTCAGAGAGGTCAGGTAGCCAGTGATCATGAGTCTGGAATCCCCAGAGTGAAGGTCCCTAGTGATGCTGTGTGAAATGTGCATTGGAGGAGATCCTATCCTTCCCCACTCCAGAACCTACGTGAGGCTAAGAATGGCCCAGCCTTGGTTGACAACAGTCTAATATTGCCAAATCCAGTTATCTCCACAGTTCATAGTATCGAAAGCATCCCAGGACCTTTTCAGACTGTCACATTAGCATCAGAAACTGGAGGCATTAGGGAGGAACGGACAGTGTTGAGGGTCACTGGCTGTTGAACAGTGAGGTGGCAAACAGAAGCCACATCCCCCTGAGAGGGGAGGTGGTGGCTGTGAGCCTGGGGGTGGGGGCTGGAGGGTGGGGGAAAGGCTGCAGGCAGGGCCAGGCTGACCTTGCTGCCCAGTGGGAGGGCCCACTCTGAGCTGCAGGACATTGCTCTGGCTATTGCCTCCCTCAGAGTCGGGGAACTGGGGCTTGGCGAGCTCAAGGTTGAAGCCACAAAGTGTTACTGGGTGACCTGCACTGCCCTCAGTGCCAAGAGCCTCCCACTGGGGCCCAGCTCACAGGACACGCTATCCTATCCGTTGCCATTGTCCTGTGTTCTCATGCCGCCTGTAGCATGCAGTGTGATCCGCCAGGGTTTGCTGACTGAACAAACCATATTTCCTGATCTCAGCTGACAGTCTCACTGTCCTGGAGTTACAGTCTTTGGTTGAAGCTCGACTTCTCTCAGGCTGAAGTTCCTACACAGTCCATATGTCCAAGACCCTGCACACCAGGCCTGACTGCCATCAACCTCTTCATCACAGTCCCTCTGACTCCAATCCCCAGCTCCAGCCAAGAGCTCTTGCTCGGCGGCACGCAGGTACTCCCAGTACAGCATTCATTCATGGCTGCAATGGGCTCCAGCTACACCTGATCTGGAACCTTTCTCCTGTCCCCGCTCCCTCCCATCCCCCCCACCCCTGTCAAACCTAGGACAACAAGCACTGCCCCAGGAAGCTGTCTGGTGTCCCAGCTGACTTGGCCCTAGTCCCTGGGGTCATGTGGAGAAGCCTGTTTCAGGTAGCTCTTGCCTAGCCTTGACTATGTGCTGGGCAGCCTTTGCGGAATCCCAGCTTTTCGTCCAGTGCAACCTGGTTCATAATGGTCTCCCTGGTGTCCCAGACGGTACCCAGCACCGCGGAATTCCCTCAGCATTCCTCGAATTGTGGTGCAGGAGATGTCACTATGCGAGTTACAGTCCATCAGCTGGGGGGCGCATCTCACAGCCATTAAAGCCACAATTATGATGGTGATATTTTGATATTCAAGTGTGATGTGTCAAGCTCCATCCGTACACTCCACCCCGGTACAAGGCCAAGTGCTTGCTTGGCGCCAGCCTGGTGCCCGGCATGGGGTGGCGGGGAGGTAAAGGGGCGGACACACAGAGTTCCTGAGCCACATGCTAAGTGACACCATGGAGGACTGATGGAGATGGAGCCCTGGGGCCCTCGAGTCCATCTGGGGGGTCTGGGGAGGCGGAACAGAAACCACACTTCTGTGAAAATTATAGCCAGCTTTGTGCCTGGACAAGCCTGGAAGCGAGCAGAGGAAGGGAGGTTGTTGATGCCACAGGGAGGTGGCATTGTGGGCGATTTTTTCCCCTTCCTTCATTGTTGGTATAATGCTGTTTGGGCGATAAATAAAAACTGGGAGGAAAAAAAATAGCTGCTCAGTGAATTGAGTACCAACCCAGGGAAGGCAGAAGGGAGCTGGGAGGTGAAGAGGAGAGGTGGGAAGGGCACACAGGGCTGGGGGAGGGCTCGGAGGTGGCAGCCCTCCACCAGGCCCCAGGCAGCTCTGGGAAGAGCATCGGGAGAGCAAGGAGGCAGAGAGCACACCCTCCCTCAGGGGTGACGGTGGGCATCCTGAGGGAAGCCTTGAAAGGTAACAAAGCGCAGGTTGGGCGGGACTTGTGAAAGGCTCTGGAGTTGGCATGGTGGGGTAGGAGATGTTGGAGTGGTCTGTTCAGAGGGGCCCCACACAGATGATGGAGGAATAAGGATGGGCCCGGGAGCTGTGGGGGAAACGCACATGTGATCTAAGCAGTTAGGGGCTCACTCAGAGCAGCTAGCGCCAAAGAGGAAAACTAAGTCTGGAAGGGACCACCCAATTCTGTCACCAGGTGACAAGGGGAAGTGAGAGATGTTAGTGTTCCCATTGCTACACGTGGGCATTTTCCCTGCTGTGGTCCATCCACCCAGGGCTCCCACAACAACTTTCTCTGAGGTCCTAATGTGTGCCAGTTCTGCTCCCAACCACCTTCCCTTCGCAGGTCTCCTCAACTCCCCAGGAGTCCAGTGGCCAATGCTCCCGTTTTATACTCAGGTTTAGAGAGGTTACCTAAGTTGTTCAAAGGTCAGCCTTTGGGGAGGGGAAGAGGGGTGCTGGCATCTGACCCGACCTGCCCTCCTACATATCAGGGTGGGGTCCTGCTCGGAGAAAAGCAAAGGGTTTAGAGAGGGCCTGTGCAGGAGGGGCTGCAAGCGAGCGGGGCGCGGGGGGTGGTGGTGTCTGAGCCTGGAAGGGGCACCTGGCAGAGAGGAATGGGGTGACCTGGGCACGCAGAGCAGGCAGTGGGTTCTGTTTGTGAATGAATGCTCTAGTGGACTGAAGAATGAATGAATATAGATAGATGAATGAGTGGGTGCTGAGAGGATCGATGTGGGGGGAGGAGGTACCTGAACCAGAACCCCTTTTCCTCGCCACCCTCCCTCCCGCCCTGGAGATTGGTGTTGAGAGCCTCCCTCCCCCTAGTCCCTAGAGGGGACCAGCTCCCCAACTCGTCTTCCCCCGCCCCCCACCCCAGACATTTTAGCGGAGGCTAGGAGGAGGGGAACGGGCGGACGCCGTTTCTCCCGGGCTGGGCCAGAGTCCCCGCGCGGCGGCGCAGCCTCCCGCGCCGGGTCCCGCCGGCCAGTGCGCAGCGCGGCGCCCCCGCCCCCGCCGCCTCCTCCCCGCCCGCCGCCTCCCTCTCCGCTCCCGCCCTCCCCGCTCCGCGCTGCACGCACAGCCCCGCCGCCGCCGCCGCCGCCGCCGCCGCCGCCGCGAGGGGAGAGGCGGCCGCACAGCCTGCTTCCTCGCGCCCTGCTCGCCGCCGCCGCTGCCCTCGCCTTGCCGAGCGCACCCGCCCGGGTACACGCACCCCGCCGCCGGGCGCCACCCCGCGCACTCCTCCCGCCGCTCCGCCGGGCAGATGCGCCGCCGCGCGCCCCGCGCCCCGGGCCCGCCACAGAGCTCCGACGCGCACCGGGGGCTCCTCTCCCAGGCCCCCCTGGGTGCCCTCCGGCTAGGGCTCCCGCCCGCTCCTTGGAATAACCCCTGAGGCTCCAGCCGTCGCCGCAAAGTTTCCCGAGGAGACCCGCCTCCCCGGCCGCTGCGCAGGTAAGGCAAGCTGCGCGGGCCGGGGGTCGGGACGGGGTGCTGGGGCGCGCGGGGCGGGGGCCGTGCTGCACGCATCCGGCCGGATCGCGTCGCCCGAATCGGTCCGGTGTGGCGGGAGACGTGCAGCCTTTGGGATTCGGGGGGTAGGGGGGTCGGGAGTCGACAGCCCAGCGCGGGTGGTGCTGGCTCCGCCGCGGGGAGGCGCGGGGTTCGCGGCCCGCGGCTCCGCTCCCCGGAGCGGAGGCTGGAAAGGGCGGGGGCTCGCTTGCAGCCCAGAGCCGAGCCCTGGCTGCGCCCGGGGGATGGCGGCCGGGCCCGCGGGGGGCCCCGGGCTGAGCAGGTCAGTCCCAGCTCCTGCCCCACACTCGGGAAAAGGAGGGTGAGGGGCTCGTGCGGCGAGGGCAGTCGGCCGGCCCCTGCGCCGCGTTCCTGTCCCCACTAGCCGCGTGAGTCACGGTTAGAGCGAGGTTTTATTTTTAAAACGACTTCAAGGGGGGCATAGGCAGCCTCCAACTTCCCTCCCTGCGCGCGCTGTGGACTGGCAGCCTAGTGCCGGCGGGGGCTGAGGCTGTGCACCTGGCAAAGGTGGAACGGAGGGACTAACGGACTGGGGGCGCACACAGGATCCCCCACCCCCAAGCTCTCTAGACAAGGAGGCAACAGACCGCGAGCACGCCCCTCCTCGTGGGGATCCGAGGCCCAGAGGCGGAAGGCTGGGGAGCGTTGTTGCCCAGCTGCAGGGAGCCGTGGTAGATCAGAGCTCTCTGAGGAGGACAAAGTTGTGAAGCGGCGACATCAGGGAGCAGCCCCAGGCTTCCTGGGGCCCCGGGAGGGCTTCCAGGCTCTCCCGGGGCGTGTGGTTGAGAGAGAACACAGCTCAACTGGGGTATGCCAGGCCCAGGAGGCTCAAATGAGAGGTCTGATGTGAATAAATAAAGCCAAGGCACAGGAACAGAGGTGAGGGGTGACAAGGTCCAGCCTTGCCTCATCTCCGCCCTTGCATCCTTTGGAGGATGGAGATCAGCCCCACCCTTTCCCACCCCTAGGTATCTTAGGAGTTGGGGGAGGCTGTCTGGGTAGGAAAGGGAGTGTACGCAAAGCAGGGTCCAGGACCCCTGACGCTCCTGGCAGAGGGATGTGGGCTGGGGCTCCCCTCCCTGCCAGCACCGGGGAAGGCGGCTGCACACGGGGGCTCCAGGCTCAGGTTTCTAGAGTTGAAAGCCAACTGCGTGTCTTCCTGCCAGCACCAGGAGGAGAGGCACAAACATCACCTGTCAGCTGGTGCCTGCCGTGGGCGACTGCTCAGGGCTTCCTCCGAAGGTTTAAAATGGAAATGGCCCAGGCTGCCAGGACCAGTGCCTGGGACGAGATGCTGCCTATCTGGGTTGGCTGTGAGGGTCTCTGGGAGGTCTGAGGTGCAGGAGAAGCTGAGATTGAAGGGACTATAGGTCAGGAGCGAGGTGAGACAGACTTTTTGAGTGTGTGTGTGTTGGGGAGGGGGGCTGGGGAGTGGAGAAACTAGGTACGTACATCCCACCTCGGTTCTCAGAAAGATTACAGGCAGAACCTCCCCAGCAGAGTGGAAGTCAGGCAGGCTAGGCTCTGCAGCCCACACGCAGATGATGGCAGGCCTGACTTCACATAGGCTTAGTCCATGTAGCTACTGGGATCCATGCATCCATACTCTACAACACATTGGTTGCAAGTCTCTCTACCTCTGTGTGGCTCAGTTTTTCTTTCCTGTTATAAATGGCCCACTATAACTACTTCCTGGGCCTTAGTTGGGGGACAGGGACTGTACTCTGTAAAATGCATGCGCATTTGCTACAAGTCTTTAATGGTCCTGCTCTTGGGCTCAGGGGTCTGTAAGATATCTGTAGAGATATTGGAAGGTTAAGGGGTCAGATTCCTCCATCCAGCTACATGCTGGTCCTCAGCAACTGTGTCTCCCTCAGAGTCCCTTGGAGCCCCTGGGAGATCCACTCGGGTTGTTTAGAGGGGAAGTAGAGCAGGAGGGCTGCCTCTTCATCTTCTCACCTGCTGCCCAGGCTGATCAGGCTGGCTTTTGGCCTGGAGACTCAGCTCTGTGTAGACTGAGACCTAGTGGCCCAGCCAATGCTACTTGCTGTATATATGCCCAGGCCTGCAGCCTCCCTTCTGGGAACCTGCCTGTCAAGGAGGGTAGAGCCATGACCTGTGAGGAGGGGTGGGTATCATGACTGTGAGGATGAGAGCGTAGGGGAGGACAGTGTGCGCGCGCGCGCGCGCGCGCGCGCACACACACACACACACACACACACACACACACACACACACACAAGACTGGAAAGGTGATGTTAGTGTACAGTTAGTGAGAGGGAGACTGGAGCCCAGGCAGACTTGACTCCTCAGGTGTCTGAGAGATAGAGAAGCAGGCCTTGAGCTGGGTGCCTGCCTGGAGAGACCCAGTGCTGTGGCTGATGTCAAGAAGTAGCTGCTTGGCCAGGCATGGTGGTGCATGCCTTGCCTTTAATCCCAGAACTCAGGAGGCAGAGGCAGGTGGATCTCTGAGTTCGAGGCCAGCCTGGTCTACAGAGCAAGTTCCAGGACAGCCAGGGCTCCACAGAGAAACCCTGTCTTGAAAATAACAAAACAAAGGTAGAGATGCTTTGGTGCAGGGGAATGGTAATGACCAGGCCTCTGGGGATAGCTGGGCATAGCCACCTTCTGTGTAGGCAGGTGGCACACAGGTAGCCACAGTGGCAGGGAGCTGGGCAGGAGCTTTGCTGAATACCCCTTAGGGTTTGGTGACCTGTTGGCCACTCCTTCCCAGCTGAGTCTCAGCACCTTAGTCAGAACTGCACAGTGGCCTGATCTTAGAGATAGGGTTTGGCAGGGCCTGTGCCAGGAGGTGTCCTGCCGGGCTGGCTCATCCCAGGATCTGGAAATGACATCAAACATCTTGTCATACCAGTTGATTATGTTCCTGGAACACTGGGATGCTGGCTCAGGGTCCTAAGGACCTAGGTGCTTCCTGGGGAGGACTCCTTTGCCTAGCTAGCTGGCCTTCAGCAAGACTGCCTTTTGTGGGCCAGGTTCCCTCAGCCAAGAGGTGGGGCAGTAGCAGAGCCTATTTCAGGGCACCCACCATGAGGTAAAATTTGCAAGTCTCCAGCAGAGGTCGTGCCTAGTAACATGGATCCCCTGTAGTCTACCCCTCCCTTTGCTGGTCTGTGCTTACAGCTAGCTTCTTGAGGGCTTGTGAAGCAGGCAGGACTACTGGGTCCACCACCACAGTCACCAGTGCCCCTTGCTGGCGGGGGCTTTCTCCACCAGTACCTCCTAGTCCAAGGAACAGTGGGAAGATCCACAAGTAACAGGAGGAGTTTCAAGTTCAGGCCCCTCGTGTGGTATGTGAGGGTGTAGGCCTGCCTGAGGGTCCTAAGGCCTCCATGGACGGTAGGGAGTCTTTGCTAGTCCTAGCCTCCCAGCAGAGAGAGCACAGGGCTCTGGAAGGGTATGGGTAGTATGAGCCTCAGGCCTGGCTGTTGCTCTTGATGCCTGGCACTCTGTGTGTCTGTGTCCGGGCAGACCTCCCCTAGAACCCAGATTGTCTAGTCAGTTCTGGCTCTGTCCTGGGCCTGGGCAGCTGCATTCTGCCACTTGCTATAGGGTGGGGTCACCATGCACTGTTGAGGGCTTGGCAGACTGATTGGTCAGGGTGGGCAAGGGAAGAACAGCACCTCCACCATCCCCGTCCCCAGCTGGCCTAGTGTTCCATGGCAGCAGCTGGACCGCAGAGGGTCCTGGGTGCCTGTCCCTGTGTTTGCCTCTGTGCCGGGCAGATTCTGTTTACCGCCACTTGCCTGTGGCCCCCAGAGCCTAGCTGCTCCCCAGGGTTAGTCACTCTGCAGATGATGTCAGGATTCTGGGACTTCCACTTGCTTTGTGGAATATATTTGATGGATTCATCATAGCCCTGGCTCTGGGGCTCTCACTGTGAGGTTTGCGTGTGCTAGCTATGTCCTCACTCTGCAGAGGCTGAGGGAGTGAGCATGGCAAGAGGACTTCGAAGATGTCCTGAGAATGGGAGACACCCCCATTCCTCAGTCTTACTCCCTTCTTTCCAGCTCGCTCATTCGTTCCTTCCTTCCTTCCTTCCTTCCTTCCTTCCTTCCTTCCTTCCTTCCTTCCTTCCTTCCTTCAGGAGACTTGAGAATGACTAGCCAGGCATAGCCTTAGCCTCTGGGACAAGAGTCCAGAACAAAAGCAGCCCTGCCCCAGCACTCGAGAGGTGGAGGCAGGAAGATCTCTGTGAGCTTGAGGCCAGCCTGGTCTACATAGCTAGTTTCAGGACAGCTAGAGCTGCATAGTAAGACTCTTCTAAAAAACAAACAAACAAACAAACAAACAAACAAACAAACAAACAAACAAACAAGGCAGTCCTAAAGCTGGGCATGATGCCACATGTCTATAATCCTAGCATTCGGGAGGCTGAGTCAGGAGGATTTCAGAAAATTCCAGGCAGCATGGGGTAGGTACATAGTTCAAGGTCAGCCCGGACTACACAGGGAGACCCTGACTCAAAACAATAATGGTAACAAAACCCAGTACTCCTGGGCTAGCTGGTAGCGAAGTGTGGGGCCAGACCTCAATCACGCCCCTCGGACCTGGAAGGCTTGTGTGGAGGAGGCTTCTGGGGAGCGTGTGTCCGAGGGAGGATAGGAAGGGCGAGCTAGGGTCGTGAGGAACTGATGGGCAAAAGGGCAGGGCTACCTTGAGGCCCCGTGGCAGGTGACGTCAGGCGTTTGCATGGGGCTGGCGATGAGGACTTGTCTTGATCTTCCTGTCTGGGGGATACCCAGGCTGGTCCATTCCGGGCTTCAGCCTGATGGGCTCCCCGAAAGCTGTGTATTCATTTGCAGGACTTGCTGGGTTTACTCGTGACAAGGGCAGTGGCCATGTTATGGAGTTAAGGCCACTAGTGATAGAGGGGATTCTAGGAAGGGGAGCTGGACCGA